TTTTTTAAACACAATTGATGAGGTGAGTATGAGAGAGGATAAAGAAAAAAATGTGTCTACATGATATATATTTGTAGGAAGTTTCATGATATACTCATACATCCTGACTGCTAGAAGCTTCAAACACGTTATCTGTTGCATGGTTTCCAAGATTTAAAGCCCAATCCTTGTACTCTCTACATTACTGTAATTCCTCATGTGACAATATCATCTTACGGTAACTGGTACCAGACTTGCCTCTTGACAAAACTATGAAATTGAACAAAATATATGTGGCAACACTTTCCAGGCATACATTAGTACAAAATCATGAAAAAATTCACAAATTAGGTCCCATGATCATCCTAACTTTCTGTCTTGTTGTTGCTAAGTGCCATCGAGTCAATTCCGACCCACAGCAACCCTGTACAGGGTTTCTGAGGAGCAGCTGAAGAGCTTGAATTGCCCACCTTGCAGGTCAAATGGCTTTGCAGTTGTTTAACCCACCACACCAGGATTTCTGTCTTAGGAGGATTTAATAGCTAAGTAGCAATCCAGGCAGAGTGACAATCTCACTGACTGAGGTTGCAGGGAAGGTGAGAATCCTACCACTGAAAACACCACTGCCCTCACAGGCCTATTGAGGCTAAAATCCACAACACTGACACCACCAAATGCTAAGGAATTCTCATTCACTGCTAGGGGTAAGAGGCAATGGTAGTGATACCTTGGAAGACCATTTGGCAGTTTTTCTTACAGAGCGAAAACAGTCTTAGCAAATAATCCAGCGATCACACTCCTAGGTATTGACCCAAATGAATGAAAAGCTTTCAAATAAACCCCTGCACACAGATGTTTCCAGAAGCTTTATTCGTAATGGTAAAAAATGAGAACCAATATATTCTTCATTAAGTGAAAGAACAACTGTGGTACATCTATACAGTGGATTATTTTGCAATAAATAGGCCAGTCAGGAATATGACCATGAGACCAGAACTGGATGGTGCTCAGCTGCCATTTTGAGCCAAGATTCCAAAGAATCCAAATCAAAAGGGAAAAGTTCACAACAGAATTGCGACGTCTCATGAACTCTAGACTTACTGGAGCCATGGCGGGTAGATGAATCCCTCAAACTATTGCACTGAGATAAACTTGAAACCAAAAATATTCACTGAAGTCAACTTAAAACAGAATACTTGAATTAGTTGGGTGGGAAAAAAAAAGTCTGCCTTGACCATTATGCTTTTTAAAGATCGATATGGGATCAAATTGACAACAGCAATTAGAAATATTAGATAGGAACCCTGTTGTTAAGTGCAGTTGAGTCAGTTCTGACCAATAGCAACCCTGAATAGGGTTTCAAGGAGCGGCTGGTGAGCCTGAACTGCCAACCTTGTGGTTTAAACCAACTTTGCATTATAGTGCATTGACCCATAGCACCACACCAGGACTCCAAATAGGAACCCTAAAGGGCAGTAGTTGTTTTAATGGGGGAAGAATTCATGAAAGGAGGGTAAGACTAAAAACACAACTTGAAGAATATAATCAGTGTCACTAAATGGTACCTATAGAAACACTAAGTGGCACCTATAGAAACACTAAATGGTACATATGAATTGGTATATGCTTTGCTGTGTATATTCTCAACATAAAATTTAGAAAGCAAAAATGATCCATGAGCCTATGAAGCTATAGAGAAACCTTAAGTGCATGGTGCCAAGTGGAAGAAGCCAGTCCTTTATGATTGCAACCATATAACATTCTGGAAATGAAAAAATATGAAAACAGTAAAAAAAAAAAAAAAAAAGATTAGTGCTATTACCAGGGTTTCAGGGAGAGAGAGAGGGATGAATAAGCCCAGCACAGGGTAATTTTAAGGCAGTGAAACTTTTTTTGTACAATGACACCGAGCACTTGTCAAAACCCATAGAATTGTACAACACAAAGAATGAACCCTAATGTAAACTATGTTGTTGTTAAGTGCTGTCAAGTTGGTTCTGACTCATAGTGACCCCATATAATCTTTATAGGAACACAAAGTCTCATCTTTCTTCCATAGAGCACATGGTAGGCTCAGACCACTGACCTTGCAGTTAGCAATTCAGTGCTAATCCTAAAGCGCCTGCAGTGCTCCAATATAAACTATAGATTTTAGTTAACACTGTATCAATGTCAGTTCATCAATTATAAGGGGAAACAAGGAGGGAAAAGAAGGCTTCTGTATAATACTTCTGTAAATTAAAACTGTTAGAAAATAGAGTCTATTTTAAAGAAATGTACAAGGAGTTATTCACCCTACTACACATTCAATTGTATAGTCATAAGTACGAAGTATAATACTGATACAGAATTTATCATATAGGCCAAATATAGGGGAGGGAGACAAGGGAGAGTAGAATCACAATGGAAATGGACGGAGTCTTAATGGTGGGAATACTTGCTTCACTTGTTAAGACTCATAGTGACTCTGTATAAGGTTTCCGAGGACTGGCTGGTGACACAGAACCACTGACCTTGTACTTCAAACTGACTTTGCAGTCCAGCACATTAACCTACAGCGCCACACCATTGCTCCACTGCTTTAGCAGTCCAACACTTAGGATCCTCTTACCTTACACCATACAAAAATCAATTCCAGAGAGCTGACAGATTTAACATTCAAAATGCCTTTAAAGTTATATGAAAAAGATTATTGTATGACCTCATGCTCGAGAGGACGTTAAGGACAAACATACACAAGCCATAAAGGACAAGATACTGTTCATTTCGTTTAAAAACTGAAACACTTCTAAGGAAAAAACTATCCTAGAACAAGGCTAAAGACAACAAACTGGTGGATGTTTGCAATGCATTTAACAGAGTGAGAACTGGTACCCAGAATATTTCAACTACTCTTACAGCATCATTCATTTAATTAAAAAAAAAAAAAAGCCCAACAGTCCCTTCCACCATCCAAAATTTTTTTAAGTATATATATATGATTTCCTATATACAAACATATATATCATAGTACATAAATTTTTAGTTTAAAAGTGTCCAGAATAAGAGGAAATAGTAGTATTGAAAAAGTAATTAAAATACCAGTTTTACTCAGTAAAACAGCAAAAACTACTACCAGGTGTTGAGAATAATGTGGAAACCCAAGAACTCTCTAATACTGCTTAGTGAGGCTGAAAACTGGGTGGGCTCTTATAAAACCTGGAAATGTACTTTTAATGATCCAAAGATACAATAAAATGCACATTGTAGAATTGTTTCTATAGGAAACCATTTAACTAATTTGCAGTAAACATTTTTGTTGTTGTTTGGCCATTCAGCAAAAATATGCATTTGCAGGTTTTATAAGAGCTAGATGAAATACTTAAATGCCTATCAACAAAGGAATAAATCAACAAAATATTCTTTATTTATTCAATATAGTAGTTACAATAGCATCCATACATATCAACATAAGCCCTGCATCCAAAGCACATGTGAAACATACACTCAGCTTGATGGCAATGACACAAATCTTACAATAGTTTCCTAAGGTAGCAGGTGAAAATGTTAAAAAACAAACAAACTGGATGAAAGCATACACAGAGTCATTGTCTTATCAGAGTGGGGGATGGGAACGGGACATTAATGGTTAGAAGAGATTAATTTACATCTTAAAAGGTTTCATTTATTAAAAAGAAGGAAAGCAAATATAACAAAATGTTAATTATTATTTTTGGCTGGTAGGAGGATAAACAATAATTTATTCTTTACTGCTGATTTTCAAGTTTTATTTCCTCTGGTATTCAGCTACAAGCTCTGTTCCAATACTGCCAATAATCCTGAGAGTGTCACTCAAATTAGGAAACAAGGTAATAAACACCAAACTTTACATGTAATTTAAATAAGATTCAAAGTAAATTCTGACTGAATTTTGGCTTATTTTAGTCTTCATCGTCTTACAATACTCATCAGCACAACTTAAAAGCAAACTATGTGCAAAACACTTTATTTATTTAGATAAAGCTGTTTGAAAGACTAAGCTACAAAATTAAGATAATCACAATGGTTTTCCTCCAGTGCCATCTAGTGGCAAGAAAGGGCAACCCGCCCTTCCACAAAACGACCCGCTGTGGTTATGAAACCATCACTTTTCAATGAGGCCTTCTCTTTTATTCTGAAGTCATCCTGTGCGGTGCTATCTAACTGTTTACTTTATTTAGAGCCTTTTCACCCTACAGGTTAGTTAAGAAGCAAGTGTATAGTTTTTTCTTTCTTCTTAGTCAAATTCTTTTGGAGGGGAGGGAGACTCTCCTAGCTTTCACTGGTTTTGACATCAGTCAGATTAATTTTGGTATCATTTAGAAAAGTTGCTCTTCTACGACACACTCCCATTCAGAGATTCCTTCTTTCCTTTTTTAAAAAATCTAATGATATCTTTAATTTCTGTCCCTCACCGATCTAGTCTACAATCCTAATCTGTGCTCATCCACATGTCAATCCTTCTAGAATAAAAATTCCAAACTATTTGGAATTTTTTCTGTTTCTACAAAATACATTTTAGTGTCACAATTTTACATAAGCTTATGTTAATTTTTCATGTAAAGGGCAGACTTTTCTTTAAATACATAACATACTGTCACTATAAATATGAAGAAAATATTACAGTTCCTGGATGAGATAATAAAAAAACACACACACAGTATCTGACCAAGAGCAAATACAATAGGCTAGGCTTTTCAGACACTATGCATTTTCCATACTGCAACAGTGAAGTCCTTCATCCATTTACAATCCAGAGATGCAATTTAGCAAGGTGGTAATATTACTCTGGAAAATGCCAACTGTACTCAGACAAAAGAAGTCCATTCTAAATGGTTTCCCATTAGTGTTTTATGTGGCTATGGCTCCATATAAAATCGTAACTTTAGATAATAGAAAGCTTTTTAACCGTTTGCAAATCAACACAAGCAGAGGGAAGAAATGAAGCAAAAGGCACTCTCTCAGAGGCTCAAAACTATTAAGATTCTGACGGAGATTTAAATTTAGCTGGTTTCAACCATTCCATTTAGATGATCCTGCAAGTTCATGCAAATACATTCAATTGTTGGCTTAACTTCTTTTCCCTCCTCAAAGTTTATGATAAAGAGACTGATCCCTGTATTGGGGCTGACTGACGTGAGTTCGGATTTGCTCAGAGTCGCTGGTAGGGAACACTTAAGGTCAGTGAGAAAATAACCAAACAGGCTTCTCATATAAGCACCATGGCTCACAACTAAGACATTGGCTACTAAACCTAGGGTGCCACCATCTGAATTAAGCTCAGATCCACAGTTTTTTCCTAAAGGAAATATTTCTGCCAGAGAAGGTTCTAGACAGTGACCTGATGCTCCTTGGGAAAACTGTTCTTTCTGGCCTGCTTCTTTCAGGATCAGCTGGCATAGAAACTCAAAAAAGTCTTTTCCACGCATTTTTACCTAGAAGAAAAGAGAAAAGGTGAATGTTCTCCACCAGAGTACACTCATGATTGCCTAAAACAGAAATGAAGAGCAAAACTGAGTTTATTTTTTCTAATATGTCCACATAACACAGGAACTCTAGCCTATCTTTCTATTCAGTCTCTCAGTGATTTCAAAACCCCTAAGTAACTGTCCACCATATGCCAGGGATACTATGGAAGTAGACTGGGGACCATGACAAATAAATGACAATTACGGATTTCTAACTTCAAAGCACTCAGTCTAGTTAGGGAAATCCACAAATATATGGAAACTACAGTGCTAACCAGGAAACTTTACCTGGCACTCCAGCTCAGTTAGAACAAAAATATTCTGTCCTCAGGAAAGTTTCCATTCAGCGTAATACTCTTAGATCAGTAAGAAAGGACAGGTAAGAATGCAAATAAGAGAAATAACTGGTACTAGTTCCAAACCCCATAAAAAAGGTTGAAATGGTCAAGTGATCGGCGTGCTCTCACTGTGCCTCTAAACAGAGCTTGTTTTCCCCGTTGGCTAAAGTATTTGTCATAAACAATGAAGTGCAATGATAATGATATATTCTACTTGGTCATAAACGACTGGCTTTAGTTTCTTAATATATTCTGTAATGATTCAGCCATCCGGCTGCTGATACACTCTGCTATTGTCAAGTTCTATCGAGTTGGTTTCCACTCATAGTGACCCTGTACAGGGTTTCGGCCGAGCGGCTGATACGTTTGAATAGCCAACCTTGCAGTTAGCAGTTCGATGTTTATCCTACACTGACATATTCTAGTTGCCATTTAAAAAAATTTACCTTTCTCTTTTTCTGCTGCTACCCATTGTAGTCATTAGAAAACAAAATGTGACCGTATTTTTGGAGGGAAGAGAGACTTCATGTTGAAAGTGGACATTTTGAAGGTTTTATTATTAGTGAAGAATGCCACCAGAGACTGAGTGGAAACTGCCCCTCTCTAAAGTGTCATTCTTATGAGCCAAGAATACACTGTTTAAAATGACAAGTTCATCTTGAAGGAATAACGTGGAACCTAATTTAAAATAAAGATAGATTAATCTTATGAAAAAGAGCATTATAATTGATAACACTGAACGGGGCGGATTTGTTAGGCGAGTAACTCTGGAAAAGCGTTCCTGCCGCACAGGTGGCATCATGTATTTATGAGATTTCGACATAGTCATCCACTTTGACTTTGTAATTTGTAGTCCTCAAAAGACTATTAAAAAAAATAATAATAAAAGTCCATCCTTATACTTAGAAATGCTGCCACTGTGATGACATCAGTAACAGGGCTGAAGGGGTAGGGCAGGCTTGAGGATTTCACTTCTTGGGTAATTTCACCAATCACTCTCCATCAACAGCCCCACATTGATATTACTGTCTACCACACTAAACTTGCTACAGTCAAGTCGATTCGGACTCAGAGTCACTCTGCAGTGCAGTAGATGATAATTAGAGGGAGCAAAGATGTGGCAGTGGCAGTCTGCTTCTGGAAAGACTCCAACCTAGGAACACCACTACAATAGCTGACATCATTGCTCCTTATGCATCAGATGACATACTCAGCTGCTAGCTGAAAGGTCTGAGTCGACCCAGAGACGCCTAGTGCTCTACTTCTGAAAAATCTGCCATTAAAAATTCTCTGGAACAGAGTTCTACTCTGATACATATGGGTTACCAGGAGTCGGAGTTGACTCGAAGGCAATTACTGTCTAACAACACATTTTCTTGACCCCTCATCAGAACTGACTGCCTACTTACACAAGCAAGCAAGGATAAAAAAAACATGTTATCTGTATACTGAAATAATAATCATTGATTAAGTGATCATCCTGATAATATATCATATCACAGAGTTGTTTTATGAACTAAGCAACTTTTAAACGGCTCAGCTAAAATTTAGAAACATCTGATTGATAAAATGAGTCAGATTTTAGCGATTCTATGACATTGGCAAATTCATCAAAGTGGTAACTTGTTTCTGGGTTCTACACACATACCTGTTCTAACGTCTCTCCTCCAGGTGGTGTGAATATGGGAATTTCTTCCCCAGCTGCTTTGGCCAATGCCCTTAGCTCAGCCAGCGGCTTGCCTTCTGCAACCCCATATTTCTGCAATGATTCAAGACATAAAATTGCCTCAAGTTAATTTGCAAACTAAGCACATGTTTATGGCAAGTTAAGAACAAAGCTTAGTTTCCTCCCACTTACTCCTTTGACTTGACAACATGAATATTCTGAGTAGCGAGCAGGCCATGCACCCTAGAAAATGCAGCTGAAATCTTGAGTTGTCCACTATGTCACAGTGGGCTATATGGAACAACCCAATGAAGCTAGTGTAAGTAGAAGGCAAGACTTTTCCTGGAGGAATACAGGCCTATGCAGAGACTACAGGGACAGAGACAAACATACCAAGTCAGTCGTATCACTATGAACACAAATGCTCCATACTTCACCTTCACAAGAGCTTGAAGAAACAGGTATTTTTAGCTCCATACTTAAAAAAATGAGCAAGCTGAATTTCAGAAACTAAGCAATTTGCCTATATCCTCACAGCCAATAATAAGCAAACTGAAATTTCAAATCCACATCTGGGGAATTCAAAGTTGCAGGATTTTCTAGATTTATTTGAGATGGACCCCTAACAAATGAAACTGAAATCACAAAAGAATCCAGTGGCTAAGAAATGTGAGGAAATCTTCTCGCTAATTACGAGTCAAAAATGTGAAAATTTAAATGATACCATCTTTAAGCTATTGAGCTAGAAGATCAAAGAGATTTATAATATCTAGTGTTGGTGGAAGAAAAAGAAATGTTCTCTCAGATCACTCAAGGGAGCATAAAATGGTACTTTTCTGGAAGGCAGCTTAGTGGCATGTATAAAAAACCTTAAAAAGTACACATTCAGTAATATCACTGGTAGGAATTTATCTCATAAGTACATAAAGAATTCAGTACAAATCTGTTTATTTTAGCACTATTTATACCATCAGTGAAAGTAAATCATAGCCTAGCTGGCCCATCCATAGTTGTTCCTGTTGTCTGAGCCTTCATGGTGATTCTGACTCACAGGACCCTATAGGACAGCCAGAACTCCCCCCAGAGGACTTCCTAAATTGTGATCTTTACGGGAGCAGATTGCCAGCTTTTTTCCCGCAGGGCCACTGATGGGTCCGAGCTGCAGACCTCTGGGTTAGCAGCTGAGGACTTTAACCAATGCAACATCAATCCTCAGCAGTAGCTTGCTTTAAAAACTGTGATCGCCACATACTGGAATAATATAGTCATTAATTAAGTGATAATATTGATGTGTATTTATACGCAATGAAAACACTACATATTAAGTGTGAATAGCTGACTTAGAAACAGTATATATATTATATAAGATTCTAGTATGTATTGTAAAAACATATAATAAAAACATATGCTAACCTATAGATAGAAACAGACAGACTGAAAGATATAAGTCAGGAACATACATGCCAAAACATTAATAATATGTATCTGTGGGTGGTAGAAATTTTAACTATTTTTTTTTTTAAGTTATCACTTTTTTCACACCGTGTAATGGACCTTCTTGCTAAATAAGATATATAAAGAGACAAATCATTATCCATTGGTTTGCTCCCCCCCAAAAAAAATCCAGTAACCTAAGCAGAGAAAAATCCAATACTGAAATATTATTTTTGCTTCTGAAATAATTTAAAATTTAAGTTTTTAATTACAAAATCAAGCTTCTTAATAACAAAATATTTTTGGTAAACATTAAAGTAAAAATATATACACATTTTGTTATAAAACCCATCCATGTTCCAATCCTCAAGTTCTAATTCTTATATCCTCAATCTGTTGAGCAACTTCTGTTACAAAGAGGAACATTAAAAATCATCACTTGCTTTTTCTGTACAAGAATAGACCTATTCACTTACTAAACAAACATTCAGGATGACTTAGAAATGCATGTTAGGCAGTGAGATCACAGTGGTGAAGGGGAGACAGTTCCATACAGCTCCCCAGACGACGGGGTGGTGGGGATACTAACCAATGAACAATAGTGAAAGACCACCAGGATGGAGGGAGACACAGGACACTGAAGCTCACAGGAGAGAGGTCTATTCTGCACTTGGGAAATCACAGAAGCCCAAGGCCTGAAAGGCAAGTAGAAGCTGGTCAGGTTTGAGGAGCAAGTATTCAAGCAGAGTGGACGTGGGACTCCGAAGTTCAGTGAGGAGTGAGCACAGGGCATTTGGCAACTCAGAGATGATCTGAAAGAGGCCTGTTATCAGTGGTCCTGAGCATGGAATCCAGGGTCTGAAGCCTTGAATTAAATCTCAGATCTGCTGTTACTTGCTTGGTGTACCCTAGGCATAAACATAACCCATGTGCACCTTGGTTTCTGCATCTGTAAAGCAAGGGTTACCATCCTTGTTGGGTTGCTGTGAAGATAAATAAGCCTGCAGAGCCTGGCACACTGCCTGCATGCGGTGAGCTCCCTGTGAGAGCTCACTGTTCTTGTTTAGACAGCAGGAACACTGAGGGTGAGGCGAAAAGGGAGGAGACAGGCTGAGGATCAAACAGATCACAGTCAGGTTTTAAAAAGTCTGGACAACCTCTTGAAGTCAAAGGCAACAAGTGAAGTGCTGTACACAAAAGCACTGAAATTACATTTTCAAAAGATGACTCTGACTGTAATGTGGAGATCAGATTGGAAGAGAAGGTGCTTGACAGAAAACAGGAGAATCCCTATTACCTTAAGCTAGGTGAAAGAGGACGCTGGTCTGCTATGGGAGAGCAGCTGTAGGTTGGAAAAGAAATGAATGGATTTAAGAATACTAAGAGGTAGAACTGACATGATGGTGATAAGATGCACCATGTGGGAAACAGTGAGGAGTCAAGAATTCATAGCTTCTATAAATGAGTACAGCAGGAGCCCTTTAGAGAAAAGATTGTTGAGTCCCACTGGGTTGGAAGTAGCTAGGGGGCAAACAGAAATAAACAGCTGGCAGTTTGGCATGCATGTGTAAAGCTTAGTTAAGACCTAAGCTAAGTGCACATACACTGAGACATGTGAGAAGAGTGTGACAGGCCTGCCATGCTTTTCCAGGTCTCATAAATTTTCCACTTTTGACAGGTGCACCTTTATAGCCCTCTCAGTGAAATGTATCTGAGTTCCCCTTCTCTGACAGTTTTCCTCCTTAAACAGCTTCCAGCTTTCACAAGTTTGATTGTATTTGGAATTTATCAGCTTAGTAACTTAAGTCAAGATAGAGAATGCAATGGTCCCCTCCCAAGCCCCCAGAGAGCACAGAGTAAGAAAAGATGGCCTAACCCAAGAAAAATGCCTTCTATTATGTGATAAGAGTCTCCGCCATTCAGCATTCCATTAAGCTGAGCACACTGGTGCTTAGCAAGTTTGAGCACTGGTCCTCAGACAGGATGAGGCTTTCCAAGCAGCACAGATGTTGAAGCTCTATCATTTTGTTACATTTCTAACTGGATATGAGCAACTGAGGAGTCGCTGGGTGGTACAAACTGTCAAGAGCTCGACTACTAGTCGAAAGACCGGCTGGCCGTTCAAACCCACCCAGGGGTGTGAAAGAAGACAGGCTTTGTGAAGCCTTCAAAGGCTTATTGTGCCCACAAGCAGTCCCCATGAATCAAGTCCACAGCAACTAGCCACAAACAATATAGAAGAAACGACAGAGCTGGCTGGGATAGTAACCAGTCAGTGACACAGTAAAATAAAAATACAGTTCTAAAATGACAAGTCTGTTTAAAATCCAGATCTCAAATTGCTTCACAGCGTTAGCTAAATCACAACTTTGGAAGATGCATTTCTAGTATATAAAAGGAGCATAAGAAGTTGATTCATATTTAAAACTGGACTGGAAGGTGAGGAAGGCATGTTTCGTTTTTACTCTAAACTCTGTACTATGTTAAGTTCTTACCATTACAAGGGGACTTCAAGAAGTTCATGGAAAAATTCTATTATCTTTAATTGCCATTTTTCCAAATTTTTTGAGGCCCCCTGGTATATCTTGGTTTTAAAAGAGACATCTCTCAAAAAGATACTAATAATTTAAAAATAAGATACTATATATAGAGTGTGTATAATGACTGCCTCATAGTAAATCTTAACACATCTGTTGATTCCAGATCCCTAACAGGAATGTATCTAAAAGTGATGTGGCTTATTGACAATTTATGATAAACAGTAATCTGTAAATAAACTGCTTACCCTTTCTCGAAGTCTTGAATCATACTTTACTGTCATATCTTTGCACAATTTACTTTTCTCCAAAATCCCATGCATGGTCTGAAAATCAAAACACAGCTGTTTCTTGTCTCATAAAAGTCACTATCATTCTGGCCTAAAGTATCTCCAGATGCATTTGATCTTTTTGAGGAGTGTTTTAACTTTCATGAGGACAGGTCTAGATTAGCCTTTCTTAAGCCTGTATTTCAGCCTCATTACTAAGGTGGCGCTTTCTGTGGGTGGTGGTGGTGGTGTCGGTTCTGACTCACAGAGACCTTGCACGGGGTGGGTTTCTGAGACTGTCAATCCTGTTGAGAGCAGAATGCCTCATCTTTCTCCTGCAGAGGGACTGGTATTCAAAGTGCTGACTATGCTACCAGAGCTCCTTGAGCCACTCTCAGTGGATTCATCGAAATCTCTCTACTTTGGCTGATGGAAACTCAAATACTTCATTCCCAGCCCTGTGCAAGTTCGAGAAATTGCCAGCTGCCAGTAATTATTCTCTCCCTGTTAGTTTCACCACATGCACATGCAGATTAATAGCCAACCTAATATTCATGGAGGGTCCCTATAGACATTCCTGGTCCTGCTTCTCTGTTAGCTCCCTCTTCCAGCATCTGTCCCTCAAATTTTAGTAATCCTGGCTTTCCCAAATACCCACCTCTTTCCCTTCGACTCACTGTGCTCTATTTGGGTACCCTCCTCTGCCATACTGTGGAAATTACATCAGTCAGAAAACAGGACAATCTTAGTGCTCACTTTGTTTTCTCCCGATTCAGGGACATGGCCCCATGCTACCTTTAGTCCAGTGTCTGAAGACACTTGTTTTGTATCTTGTGTCATGTTTTCTAGTTTTTTTATGAGGAGAGGCAAATCCCAAACCTGTTAACTCCCTTGTGGACGGTTACAAAAGATCCTGTTCATTGAGTTTTTTATTTCAACATTATGTTTTATACATTTAGAAGTTGATTTGGTGTTTTCCTCATCACTGGGATTTTAAAAACATTCTGTCCCCTTAAAATATTTCAAACTTTTTTTTAGTTCTGTAATCTGCTAAAATAGCTGGGGTGTTTTTTTGTTTTTTGTTTTTTTTTACTGTATTTGGCCATTCTAATATCTGACATTTCTGCAGGTTAAATGCCCCTACCTGCTGTTTCTGCTGGCTCGCTCCCTCATGGACATCTTGTTTGTACTGTTACTAGACAATTTTTTTCAAAACTAGTCTAATTTGAAAATTACCAAACTAAAATAAAATGAAAAAAGTCAGCACTGTGTGACAGGAAAGGGGTCAGGAGTGATGGGGTCTCTGTGATTCAGTACCCTACAGTTTCTGGTGGTAGACTCCAAGGTTACCTCGTAATAAGACTTCTGACCCACTCGCCTCCACCTCGACTCTAAATTACCTGCTTTGTCCTCACAAGGTCACTGGAGAACACATGAGTAAACGTCACTTTACTGAGGAACAGGCCAGCAGCTGCAGCTTGTTTAAATCCAGTTTCTGAAAGAGGCGCATCTATTCCTTGGCCTATGGTATTAAGAAAAGGAGCAACAACATTTGAGAAACATACATAAGTGATACAAATTAAATTAGACGTGAACAAATATTACATTTTCAGTGTTTCAGAAAAAAAAAAAAAAAATTCCCTTAGGCAGCTTCAGAGAACAGACAACAGGAAAAATATGTCAATATTCTACAAAGGCTTAGCATTATAGATTGTACCTCAAAAATAAATGCTGGGGTCCTAACCCCTATACCTGGGGAAAGGATCCCTGGTGGTACAGTGGTTAAAGTGCTCAGCTCTAACCAATAGGTTAGCAGTTCAAGCCCACCAGCTGCTCTGTGGGAGAATATGGCAATCTGCTTTCATAAAGATTTACAACACTGGAAGCCCTATGAAGCAGTTCTATAGGGTCTGTCCTATAAGGTCTCCATGAATCTAAATTGATCGGACAGCAGTGCGTTTGGAGTTTGGATGCCTGTGGAAATACTTCCATTTGGAAATAAGATTTTCTTTGGATGTTAATGTGGCCATACCAGTGTAAGTGTGTCATTAACCTAACCACTGGAGTAATGCCAAGGAAAAGACTAGACACAGAGGCAAGCAAGTAAGAAACGGGGAGAGTGGCAGCAGTCATCATGTCGAAAGCATCAAGTAACCCGGAAACACAAAAGACTAGAGACTGAGGCAAGGTTTCTTCTCCAGAGTGGACAGAGAGTTTTCTCGGGTGTCCTGAATTCGGACTTCCAAGTCTCCTGTGGCACTGAAGGGTAAGCACTGGATTGCAAGGTCGGTTTGAACCACAAGGTTGGCTCCTCAGAAACCCTATACAGGGTCGCTATGAATCAGAACCGACTTGATGGCACTTAACTACAAACAGCAAACTAAGATAAAATACATTTCTGTTTGTTACAGCCATCCACTTGTACTTCTGTAACATCCACACTAAGAAATGAAGACACACAGGTGTTCAGCTTTTTCCAAGAGACTGTTCCTCTACGATGAGGCCGCCAACTGGTAAAAGTGACACCATCTTGTCAGAAGAGAGGTCAGTAGTGGCAACTGTGGTCTGTACTGTCCTTCAGGTTAACCAGTAGTTACATCCACCCCAAGGCCTACTCTAGGAGCAAAGAAGTGCCTGAAGTTCCCGAGGAATCAGCACAACTGGAGATAAGTAGGACATGCGTCTGAAAGTCCTGGACCTCCCCACTCGAAGTCCTGCCCCAAATCACTAGAAATCTTCTTTTCCCTTTCTTCTTAGGTTGACCATCTTTGGAAGACACTACGCAGTCCCCTCTGCCTCCTGTAGATCCAATATACACTAAAACTTGCTTACTTCACCACACTCCTGTCTCGGGGTAACTGGTTTTTCTTGTGGCAGGCAGCACGAACCACCATTTTGCAGTATCACTATGACAAATTTAGACCCATAAAGACTTCAGACAGCTAAATCCGCAAATACAGTATATAAAAGTATGAATAAATGACACACAAAAAATAGAAACATAAAAATAAGAAAGCAACTTGAGACCATCAAAAGTTATCCGAGGGTTTTTAAAAGAACCAGATATTTTAAAATTAAAACAGAATTGCTGAGGGAAGGGGAAAAAAAATCCCAGAAAAGAACAAAAAGAATTCCGCAATGGAGTAAGAGAGTGATTAAATTAAAAGGAAGCTATATGGATGCAAAACAGAGCTCAATATATTGCCAAGAATGAAACACAGATACAAGGATATGGAACACATTTAAGACATATAGGGATATGAAAAAGAGAATAAGAATTCTTGACTATCTAACTGGGACTCCAGAGGGTGAACAGAGAACATGGAGGAGAGGGAATATAAAGAGAGGAAGGCTGGTGAGCACTATCTTCTCTAAGATCTACCTATAGGGAATCTAACTGACTATACAGCAACTCAAAAACTCGGTAAGACACTCAGGGGGCGGATGAGTTTATGTTAGTGAGGGCGAAGCAACTGGAAAAAAGAAGGCGAGAATGGCTGCACAGTCTGAAGAATGCAATCGATGTCACTGAGTGGTAAGTGTTAAAACTGTTGAATCGATGTACGTTCTGCTTTGTGTATTCTCAACGAGAAAGCAAAAACTGACTTCACTGCATCTAAAAGTACATGTGGCAAGGGATTAAAGTACAAAAGATGATTTGGGTGGGTTAAGTGTCATTTGAAAACAAGGGTTCATTTAATTATTAGATTAGTTTCGAGGACCGTTATATACACATGGGGCATGAAAACCACTGTCTCCAAACCCCAGAATTTCCTAACAACAGCAAACTCAATGCTTTCATCATCATAGCACAGAAACAGTATGTCCAGATGAAAGCTCACCCAAGACAAGCTTTGAAAAGTCAGACTAGCTGGGTCACAGGGAGCTCAGGGTCTAAGCTCAAGTTAACTGAACAGGAAGGAAAAACGTGTTCAGAATAAAGTAACAAAATACATGTGAGAACAGTTCTCTTTTTTTAAACCTCTTCTTTGCTACTACTAAAATTAAAACAACTATCTTAGCTGGAAAATACTACTATCACTAGCCAGTAAACTTTATGCTTCCAATAGGAAATCATTTTAAACCTATGCAGTTTAATTCTAAGACACCTAAAACCCAATATAACTCCTTACTTATATTGGGCCAGTCCAAAGTAGTCATTTAAGAGATTTGTTCTTCTTAGTTACCAACCATTCTGGTCATATTTCTGTTATAATGATGCTTTAATTCTATAATTCCAATTCACAGTACACTTCCCAGTTCACCCCACCCACCAAATCTGATTAACATATCACAGTAACATTAGAGGAGAAAGAGCTAAAATAACAGGATTACACCAACCTTGAATTATTTTCTCCTTGTTTAACTTGGTTTCCCCACTGAAACAGAGAGGGAGGAAGAAGAAGAAAAAAACTTAATTAGCAAATTAAGTTATTTTGAGATGGGGGGAAAAATCAGCAAAATTATTACTAATAAAACAAAAGGACAATAACAGTCCTAGAGATCTTATGGACCTTATAACATACCTTATAATCGCGCTCACAAGAAGACAATTTCATCTAAACTAACATTTGATACTCTACTCTGAATATGGATCCCCTGCATGGTGTAAATGATCACAGTGCTTGACTGTACACTACAAAGCTGAGATTCAAAGCTCACCCAGAAGTAACTCACAAGAAAGGTCTTATGGCCTACTTGGGAGAAACCAGCCATTGAAAATCCTGTGGTGGAGGATAAACTGAAGAGTTTGTGCCTAGGGGGCAGTAAGTTCATTTTCATGGCTGCGGAATCATATGATTTGGAAAAGGATACCAAGAATGGTTGCGCAACTTGAAGAATGTAATCAGCATCACAAAATTGTACATGTACAAACTGTTGAGTTGACATGTTTTGTTATTTTCCCAATTTTAAAAAGAAAGCATGTATTTTCCCAATTTTAAAAAGAACCATTCTACTGGTCACACAATGAGTCAGAATTAACTCAAGGGCAACTCATGGTGGTAGTGGTGGGATTTAATGGATGATCTAAGAAACTGTCCAAAATTAAAATGTATACATCATTTTCAATCTTAAGTTACTTACAAGTGGAAGATCCTTTAAAAGTATACAAAACCTTAGGAATCCCTGATTTTTCTCGTTTCTTGTTATGCTATGTTAAACTGAAAAATTTCCTGCAAACCACACTGGAGAAATGAACTTTAGGTTACACTTAGAAGAATTTAAAAAACGAAATCAACCCAAAATATTTGACAACATCAACTGCTGATGAAGACAAAGAAGAAGCAAGGGAAACTCTCATTCATTGCTGGTGGAATGGTGCAGTCATTCTGGAAGGCATTTTCAGAATCTCTTACACAGCTAACCATGGGCCTCTCATACAATCTCAGCATTCACATTCCTAGACATTTACTCTGATGAGTTGAAAACGTGTACATAATAACTTGTACACGAAGTTTTGCTGTTAAGTGCTGTCAAGTCATTCTGACTTATAGTGACCCTATATAGGGTTTCCAAAGAGTGGCTGATGGGTTAGAAACATCAACCTTCTTCTGGTTCAAACCGACCTTGTGGTCCACAGTTCATTATCCTGCAACACCACACCAGGACTATAGCATCTTTATTCATAACTGTCAAAAACTGGAAGCAACCAAGATGTCCTTCAATAGTTAAGTGCAAAAACAAACGGCAGTACATCCATACAATGGATTATCACTCAACAATAAAAAGAAGTGAAATCCCAAGCCACAAAAGACACGGAGAAATCTTAAATGTATATAGGTAGTCCTGAACATATGACATATTTGAGTTAAGACAAACTGTACTTATGTTTTGTTTTGTTTTTTTGTGGGGGGGACTACATAAAAAATTTATGTACTACATAAAATATTGCAGCATAATTTGCTTATCATTCTAATGCCAACTCCACAAAACAAAGATCGGATTTATAAAGATACTGGTAAAAAAAGGCAATAATGATTAAAACAGGGAGGGTGAAGGTACTGACTTATGTCAAAACTGATTTATGACAGAGTCATCAGAAGGGAACCCTATCATAAATCAGGGACTAATTGTATCACTAAAAAAAAAAGAAAAAAAGAAAAGAAAGGCAGTCATAAAAAGCTACATGCTCTAGAATTCCAACTGCCATCTTGGAAAAAGTTGAAACTAGAGAGACAATAAAAAATGCTGGTGAAGGTGTGGAGAAACTGGGACCCTTCTACACTACTGGTGGGGCTGTAAAATGATGCAACTACCGTGGAAAACAGTATGGCGTTTTCTCAAAAAGTTGGAAACAGAAATACCATATGACCCAACAATCCCTCTACTTGGTATAGATCCTCAAGAAATGCTGTTGTTGTTATGTGCCATGGAAGTCGATTCTGACCGATAGCGACCCTATACAGGGTTTCCAAGGAGCAGCTGGTGAGCTTGAACCACCAACCGTGCAGTTCAAACAACTTTGCAGTCTGGCTTTTTAACCCACAACGCCACACCAGGACTCCATTATAGAGCAGTTTTTGTTGTTATGGGCCGTGGAGTCAGTTCCGACTCATAGCAACCCTGTACAGGGTTTCCGAGGCTGTAAATCTTTATGGGAGCAGAAAGCTTCATCTTTCTCCCGCAGAACAGCTGGTAGTTTTGAACTGCTGACCATGAGATTAGCAACCTGATTTGTAACCACTACGCTACCAGAGTTCCTTCCATTATAGAGTAGGAATCCAGAAATAGAAATCCTTTTCACAAAAAACTTTCACAACTACTTAATTTTACAGCTTTTATCAGCTCTATCATGATATTTTTGGAGTCCTGGTATGGCACTGCATGATAATGCATTGGGCTGCAAGGTCAGTTTTAACTGCAAGGTCGGTGGTTCAACCACACCTGTCGCTCCTCGGAAACCCAATACAGAGTTCACTATGAGTTGGGACTGACTTGACAGCACTTAACAACATTAATATTGTTGTTAGATTCCATCGAGTCCATACCCACTCATTAGCAACCCTATGCACAACAAAACAAAGCAATGCCCACTCCTGCACCAACCTCACAACTATTGCTATACTTCAACCCATCCATCTCGTGGGTGATCTTCCTCTTCTTCTCTGATCCTCCACTTCACCAATCATAATATCCTTCTCCAGGGACTGGTCACTCCTGATAATATGTCCAAAGTATGAGAGACAGTCTGGCCATCCTGACTTCCAAGGAGCACTCTGGCTGTACTTCTTCCAACACAGACTGGTTGGCTCTTTTGGCAGTCCATGTTGCTTTCAATATTCTCCTCCAACACCATAACTCAAATGCATCAATTCTTCTAAGATCTTCCTTATTCACTGTCCAACTCTTACATGCTTATGAGGTTATTGAAAATACCATGGCTTGGGTCAGGCATCAAACTGACATCTTTGTTCTTAAACACTTTAAAAAGGTCTTAAACAAACTTAAAATTTGTTTTGGGAGACAGAAAGTATTGTTAAGTGTTAAGCGTCATGGAGTTGGTTCCGACTCATAGTGAACCTGTTAAGGGTTCCCAAAGCTTTACATCTTCAAGGGAGTAGAAAGTCTCATCATTCTTATGTGGAGTAGCTGGCAGGCTCGAACCGTGTACCTTGTGGTTTGCAGTCCAGTGCTTATCGTATGGTGCCACCACGTTCGAAAAGGTAAGTAGATAGCTAAACTTGTTTTACTATTAATTTACTTCCCTTAACACAAGTTTGGTTTGTAGTATCAGTAGTGAATGTGGAGGGAACTGAAAGGTCAGAGGAATACATTCTGAAAGTGTCAGGAGTAATACCACCCATTTTCAGAATCTGCAATGTGTAATCCACTCCGAAAACAGGACACCTGACTCTGCAAGAATCCAAACACTATGCCAAGAAGTGGTCTTATGACCAGCCATTTATAGGTTCTACAAATGGATACCATTCATTTTGTACGTTATCACACTTCATTTAAAAGATATTTTTTCAGTCACGATTTATACTCTGTGGCATTTCTTTAAAAAAATCAGATAGAAACTTAACTTCTCAGTCACATCCTTTTATAGAATTTAAATGCAATAGACAAGTACTCAGTTTTGCCACAAAAGCGACAAATCATAGGAAATATGTTTGCATTTGGGGCACATTTTCAAAAGATAAGATTTCTCGTAGATGGAAACAAAGCTTCCTATTACTACCTGATATTCAATCATGAGTATAGCTGAGTCCTGGTGAGGGTGCTCTAGGTTAAAAACAGAACCGCAAGATCATTTTGAACCAAAAGGTTGGCGATGCAAACTCACCAGTCACTCCTCAAAAACCCTATACAGGATCGCCATGAATAGGAACTCACTCAGCAGCACTTACCAATAACTGTATCCTAATTCCTCTACACCAATTAATTCATATGAAAATATAGATTTCAGGGTTGGTAAAAGACTATTCCTAGCTGATCTGAGGCAAAAAACAAAACTTGTAAATAAATTTCCCAACTTATCATATATTTATGTTTATTCGTAGATTAGTCCTAGTAACAAAGACTCTCCCCAATCGACCAACCCCATTAAAAACAAAAACACAAATATCAGTTACAAAACTACACATATAGATGATCTAAAGGATTAATATTCAACAGAAAATAACTGACATTAAAGTTAAAAAAAAAAGTTTTTAAGAGATGGTTAAAAACTGAGGTGAAGTAGATGATTTTGCAGTTGATTGCAAACACCTCAAATTACATTTCAAGAAATACTAGGTCCTTCAATGTGTTGTATGGATGACAATTCCTTTATATCCGTGTGTAAAGGAATTATACATAATATATGTAGTATTTTTCAACAATGGTGTGGTATACGATCATGAGAAGTTACACTGTATTAGTAACAGAACTGAAGTTCAAAATCTTGGGCATTATTTTCCAAAAATGATTCACATTACTAATGCAAAGCGAGGTTATTAGCATGAGTCAGGGAGCGGGGTAGGGAAACAGTGCAAAATATAAAATGTTGCGGAAAGAAATTTTGTCCCACAAAATGTGCTACATAAAGAGCCCTGGTGACGCTGTGGGATTAGAGTTGGACTACTAACCTCAAGGTCAGTAGTTCAAACCCACCAATGCTCCTCAGGAAAAAGATGAGACTGTCAACTCCCATGAAGATTTAGGCTAAGAAATTCTATGCCTCACTGTATAAGTCAAGACTGGTTTCACAGCAGTGGGTTTGGCCTGGTTTTACCCATGGAAATAATCCCATTTGGGAAGTCTTTGTTATATTAATGAGATCATAACCGAGTTACTGTTGTTAAGTGCCCTTGAGTTGGTTCCAACCCATAGTGGCCCTACATAGGGTTTCTGAGTAGCGGCTGGTGAGCTTGAATCACCAACGTTGCTGTTCAAACTGACTTTTCAGTCCAGCACATTAACCTACAGCATCACACCAGGATGTGTTTTAAGACAATCAATGTTGTCATAAAGTGCACTTAACAACAATGAGAAAATAATTTTCTGTTCATTAAAGCCATCCACTTGTGGTATTTCTGTTATAACAGCACCAGGAAACTAAGACTAAGTACAGTAACCACAGATTCATAAATTGCAGTTTGGCTTTATGCCAGCCACATGATGTTTCCTCACCTGCAAGCTGAAGCTATCTTTACCTCACTGGGTGTTGTCAGAATTTAACTAAAATAGTGCCTGTTGTTATGTGCATCAGTCGGTGTTGTTGTTGTTATGTGCCATTGAGTCGGTTCCGACTCACAGAGAGCCTGTACAGAGTTTCCGAGGCTATAAATCTTTACGGGAGCAGAAAGCCTAATCTTTCTCCCGTGGAACAGCTGTTAGTTTCGAACTGCTGACCTTGCTGTTCACAGCCCAATTTGTAACCGATACACTACCAGAGCTCCAGTATAAGGTCTCTGAGGAATAGCTGGCGGGTTGAACCACACACCTTTCGGTTCAAACCGACCTTATAGTTCAGTGCTTTATCCTACCGCGCCATACCTGGCCCTTATTAATAACTTACGAAGGCTTACTTTTGAACTGATTTCTATGGAGATGCACATAAAGATGATACAAAGAAGCAGGGAGACAATAACACTCATATATTCAAGTAGATACTGTCTATAAAGGAGCTCTGGTAGCATAGTGGTTACAAGTCGGGCTGCTAACCTCAAGATCAGCAGTTCAAAACTACCAGCCATTATGCGGAAGAAAGATAAGGCTTTCTGCTACCATATAGATTTACAGCCAATTGACTCCATGGCACACCACCACCGCCACTGTCTATAAAAGATTCTGCAGGAGACATTGGGTGGAGTGGGCTTCCCAGCCCAAAGAGCAACGTGGTTATAGAGCCTTCATACGGTACGGTAAGGTAAGGGTTTAAACTGAGATCACCTTACTTCCCCAGGTGGGAGAAAGATATAATTGTATGCTTCCAGCAAAATTTGTTGTTGAGTGCCATAAAGCCGGTTTTGCCTCATAGTGACCCTATATAAGGTTCCTGAGGCTGTAAATCTTTGTCGGAGCAGAAAGTCTCATCTTTCTCTGGTGGAACAGCTTGTGGTTAGCAGTTGCCTTGGAAACTCTACAGGGCAATTCTACTCTGTCATTATGAGTCAGAATCTACTTGATTGCAGTGAGTTTGATATTTTTCCAAGGGTGCTTTAACGTAGATTTCTTAAAATACTTGAGCTATAACACTGTGTCAGATACTGTGTTGGCTGGTTCAAGGATCAGAAAATTCAGAAAATTCTCTTCCATAACCGTAACTGTTGTTGTTATGTGCCATCGAGTCGGTTCCGACCCATAGCGACCCTGTATAGGGTTTCCGAGGGTGTAAATCTTTACGGGAGTAGAAAGCCTCATCTTTCTCCCGCAGAGCGGCTGGTAGTTTCGAACCGCTGACCTTAAGGTTCGCAGCCCGATTCGTAACCACTACGCTACCAGAGCTCCTAACCGTAACTGTAGCCCCTGTTAAGTAGATCAAGTAAATTCCCTGCTTTCTTTAAAATGCTGAGGTGTACAAAAGAGGCACAGAGAAGCAATATTTCTAGTTCAGAATTGTTGTTTAGTGCCGTTGAGTCAGTTACAACTCATAGCGACCCTGTATAGGGTTTCCAAGGAGTGGCTGGAGAATTGGACCACCAACCTTATGATTCAAACCAATTTAGTGCTTATTGTACTGCACACCAAGCCAGGACTTAGATGAGTCCAAGATTGTCTTCTTACAGAACAGGGCAGAAGAACCAGTTAAAGTCAGCTTGAGAATGCTAAACTGTATTTGTTTTGTGTTCCTTGTGAGCTCCAGGAAGGCAGAAATGGTATCTTATTTATCTGTGTAACTCAGTCCATTGGCATATAGTACCTACTCAAAAATGCTGGTCCAATACAATTATATACATATTTGAGGACTGTTGTTGCTTTTGTTAAATTATGTCATGTTAAGTCCCGTTGTGTCAATTCCAACCCATAGCAACCCTGTTAGGGTTTCCAAGGAGCAGCTGGTGAGCTTGAACCACCAACACTGCAGTTCAAACGACTTTGCAGTCTGACGCATTAGCCATTGAGGACTAGCTGCATGTTTTATCAAAGCTGTCCTTATAGAAAAAATAATATTCAAGCTCCCTGCTCCATAACCCATTGCTATGGACTCTAAAAGCATCCCTGCATGGCAGAGTAGAACTGCCCCGTAGGGTTTCTCAGATAGAAATCTTTACGGGACACAGACTGCCACGCCTATTCACAACAGAGCAGCCGGTAAATTTGAACAGCTGACCTTTCAGTTAGCAGCCAAAGGGCTTAACCACTGTACCACCATAGCTCCATAAGATGCATCAATGGTTGATATGTATCTATATATTTATATCTGTACCTATATATTTTAAGAAGATCACAAGGGGAGAAGTCTTTCTTCCCAGGTGTTCTGGGTGTACTTGAACCTCCAACCTATCCATTAGTTTTCAAGAGCTTCATTTAACCATTTGTGCAACCCAGCAACTCTTTCCTGAAATTACTCTGGTAGCATAGTGGTTACAAATGGGGCTGCGAACCTCAAGGTCAGCCGTTTGAAACCACCAGCTGTTCCGCGGGAGACAGAAGAGGCTTTCTGCTCCCGTAAAGATTTACAGCCTCGGAAATCCTGTACAGGGTCGCTGTGAGTCGGAACCGGCTCCACGGCACATAACCACCACCAAATATATTTCTTCCCTCGCTGTTGCTCTATATACACTTTTCCCTTTCTCAGTTAATTCTCACAGTAACTAACCCAGAGCACTATTATTATCTCCATTTCATGAATCAGGAAAATGAGGTTAGAGAGAGGTTAAATTAGTTAATTGAGGCCCAAGTACAGAGAGAACCTAGCTAGAACGAGGATCTGTCTTGGTTCAAATATCTGGGTTCTTAACTACTGTTGGCGTTTCACTTCCCATTGACACTTGGAAATCTGTTGAGAAAGATAAAAGGCACTCAGCGACTGCCTGTAATCTGTTGTGACGATTGAAATACTTTTGCTAGAGATAATGCGGTCCGCCGAAGGGAGGGCGGAGGCTCTTTGCTCTCCCAGAACTGTAATCTCGGGAGGGAAGAAATCAATCTCAAATATAAACTGGAGACTGGCAAACGAGAGGATCAGCCGAGACAGGAAAGAGGGAGGCAGCCAGTTTCAAAATGTCAGCCAGTATCAAACTCTTTAGACGCTGCTTAGGAGCAAAAACGATGGAGTGTGGAGACATGGTTTTTCTTTCTTGGGTTTCAGCTCTGATACGAACTGGCTGGGAACCTGGGTGACCTATCCGTGTAGACCTCACTCTCATCGGCGATTTAAGACTTGCTTTCCTCCCTCTGGACAGCTTGGGGCAGGGCAAAGGGAGGGGCCGAAATGAGGTAACACTTGTGAAAGCTCCCAGAAAAAGCTCGGTCCGAGTCCACCCTCCCACGGTAGAGCAACCGGGAGAAGAGTGGGGATTAATGTTCCCTTCCCCAAACCCGAAACACACCCGATAATGAGCAAGAGAGAAGGGCAGCAATACTCACTGTCGGATAACGATCAGAGAGAAGCGGGTCATCTTCCCGGAGCCTGTAAGGCGGCGAAGCAATGGCCACAGCTCGGCGTCTGACTCCCGCACCGCTCCTCGCCGCTTCTCTGCACTGCGGACTCACTTTGCCCACACGACTTCCGCCAACCCCGACCCGCCGGCCGGCTTCGACACCATAGGCTGAGAAGGTATCTTACGTCATCACAGAGAGGCCAATCAGAGAGGAGGCAGACCGGGGGGGTCGGCGGAGACTGGTAGAAAATGAAGCCCCTCCCAGGACTGTGGCGCTTGCGCCCCTGCGCGCGAACCTGTGATTGGCGCGCTGCAGGTGCGGGCGAACAAGCTCACCCTGGGAGTTCCCTGTAAAAATGATTTCTGTGTGGGGTCAGAACCTGGATACGGCGTAATAAGGAAACCAGTCCTCTGATTTTTGGTTGACTTAACATGAATCTGAAGTGCTGCCAATTGTTGTTGTTAAGTGCTGTGGAGTCGGTTCCGACCCATTAACGACCCTGTATAGGATTTCCGGGGAGCGGCTGGTGAGTTTGAACTGCCAATCGGGTCCGGTGCTTATCCTTCAGCGCCACACCCGGACTCCAAGATGAGAAATACCTCACAGGTGTACAACGTCATACAGACTGTCCGATGAGGTTTAGCCATCAATCTCTAACATTGAGGCTGTAGGGTCAGCAAAGTCAGGTCTGTGGGCTTAGAACGTCCCAGTTTCAGCTCCCAACTCCAACATTTAGAACTTTCATTGTTTAGAGGGTTAGTTACTTAACCTAACCCTCAGTTATGTGATGGGTAAAATGGAATAATGGTACCTAGCCATAATAACG